GGGGAGGGGCAGAGAGAGAGAATCACAAGTAGGCTCCACACTATCATTGCAGAGCCTGATGGGCTCAATCCCAGGAACCATGAGACCATGACCTGAGCTGAAATCAAGAGTCAGAGGCTTAACTAACTGAGCCACCCAGGCACCCCTCATCTCAACCTTAAGAATTAAGAAAAATTATTCATCCCAAAGGAGTTCTTCAATAAATTCTTTTGTATAGGAGAAATACCCTGTTGTGTTAAAATACTACTCACGTTATCAACTTGTGATTTACACTTAGCATCCTCACAAACCCACCTGTTCCCCTTCTTCCCCACCCCCGCCCCATGATCTAGCACTACCTAGCTGATGCAGGACTTTCCAGCAGTGGCAGTCTTTGGGGAAAGTATGTCCTTTTCTTTGGACAGTGCTGGAGATGTGATCTGGTGTGACAACTTTCAGACATGTTGGGATCAAAAACTGCTTTTTATTTGCCCATTGTATATGGGTGGGGCTAAAGGCAGGGTGTTATTTTATTTGTTTGTATTTTAATAAACAGTGTAACAAATTACGAGGTTATTTTCTAAGCAGACAGTGAAGAGGTGTATCTGGAGGGGTTATTTCTCAAGGAGCAGATAGTGTGTGTCCCCAGCATTTTAGAAGTGTCCTGTCCCAGTGTCAGCAGAGGGGCAAGATACAATGCAAGGGAGTGAGGTCCCAGAGAGGGTGGATATTGTCCACAGAGAGAACTGTTTGGAAATGACTGGTAAGGCATGGGCTGTCTTGCTGTTTGTGGTGTGTACTTGGTTGTTTTCTAAGCCCCTTGGTGCCAGTGAGTCTGGAGACTTCTAAATTATCTGATCACAAGTTTCAAGAAGATGGTTGCAACTCTGAAACAAGTATGTGATGTGTTGTCATCCACTGTTGTTTTTATTTTATAATGCATTTGGGGTTTTGAATCATGGATGTGTTAAATAGAAGCTTTGAGTCCGTTACTTGCCTGTAATTCTTGTTAGCATTTATCCAGAACATAATTTATTCCTTTTCTTTGCAGGCATTTGATCTAACAGAACAAAGATATGTAGCTGTGAAAATTCACCAGTTAAATAAAAACTGGAGAGATGAGAAAAAGGAGAATTACCACAAGTAAGTGATCCTAGAGTGTCTGATTTTTCAAAATTTGGAAGTAACAGCTGTAGTTTGGGCCCTGTGCTAACAGCTGTACATGCATTGTTGTTGTTTCATTTAATCCTTATGACTATCCTGGGAGAGTAAGAAATTTTCCATCTTACTGATGAGCAAATTGAAACTTACAGAATTTGAGTAATAGTTAAGAAATGGCTGAGCTGGTGTTTAAATCTAGACTTCCCTTAATCTAAAACCCATGCTCTTCAACCTCCCTTTCCGTTATGTGTGTAACATTAGCTACAGTAAACAAGTAAAGCCTCGGAAACTGTCTTGCTGTCTATAGAAAGCAGATGATGGAGTCCTTCAGTGGCCTGGGCATCCTGAGGGGCTCTGGGCTGGGCTTTTTCCTGCCTGTTCAGTCATTTCTTTATGGAGGAAATGGGAAGGGGGGGTACCTGGGGTGCCTCTTGTCTGCAGTGGTGCTTGTTGGACATTCAGTTCCTCAGTGCTGTGTCCCCCTCCCCCTCCCCCTCACGGTTTTCCCTCCGAATTCTGTGTTCAGGGTCCTGAATGCCACTGGCTGGCGCTCCTCTTCTGTGTTGGGAGAAGGGCTGGGAGGGTGACTTCTTTAGCTTGAATAATGATTACATGTACAGGTGTGAATTTCTTTGATCCACTAATGGCGGGTTTGGCTTGTTTTCCCCACCCCGCCCCCCAAGCTTCAGAACGTTGGAATTCATGGCTCATTCGGTTTGGAGGCCACTCATACCTGATTTGCTGTTAGGATCCCCACTGGGCTTAGTATTGTTTCCTTGTTGTAGGTAAAAGCACTGAATTAGACATGTCCTGACCCCGGAAGGAGAAGATAACCACTTTTAATGTAAACTCACCTCCTTTCTATGAGAGCAGTTGTGTTTTTTTTTTTTCTTATAGGTTGTACTTTGAAGGGAAAAAAAGCAGTGGACTTTGAAGTAGCCTTTTTTTTTTTTTTTAAGTTTATTTTATTTTGGGGGGGGGGTGCAAGTGGCGAAGGGGCAGAGAAAGAGGGAGAATCCCAAGCAGGCTCCGCGCCATCAGCACAGAGCCAGATGCAGGACTTGCACCCACAAACCACGAGAACATGACCTGAGCCAAAATCAAGTCAGACGCTTAACCGACTGAGCCACCCAGGCACCCCTGAAATAGCCTTTTAATTGGCTTCTAAATCTCAAGGGAAAAGTAAAACATTTCTACATCATCAGTGGTTCTTGGGGCATAGACCAAGGCAACTCTTGCTGTATACATGTTCCTTATCAGGGGTCCAGGAACCTCCCCTCCCCTCCGCCGCCCCCTCATTCTGTGCTGGATGGCACTCAGCACTGGAGAAGTGAAGGTTCCTGTGGCGTTAAGAGAAATTGGGCTTAGCGGAGGTAGCAAAAGGGATGAGGTGTGCTTTATGCATGGCACCTTGTGTGTGTATCTTACGTGACAGGCAGCTGCAGTCCAGATGCTTCTGAGGAACAGTTACATTATTACAAGCACATTCCAGTCACTTGGCGTTCAGGGACAAATGGCATATGCCACAGTGAATGCCAGGAGCACTTCAGAGAAGGAAGCCACATGTTGCTCTGACCAGTTAGAAACGTGAAATGTCCCCCTTACATTGAGACTCTCAGAGTGCGTAGGGAGTTGGAATGGTACTTGCTTCTCTTTAAAAATGCTCTCCAGCTATCCTTGGAGCCTGTTCTGTATCTTATGTGTGACCTGACCACTCTAAACCACTTGACTTTGTGAGGGGCCAGCCTTGATTAACCTTGAGAAGGTGGTTCCTGTGCTGGGATTTGCACATACTTTGCCTAGTTTCAGCGTCCACCTCTTAGGCTGGCCCTAAAGAGAACTCTACTGAGGAATACTGTGATGACTGCTGGTGGGGTGCTGCCCACCTTAGCCTTTTGAAACAATGAGGGGTCGAAGCCTGGACCTTGTACCTCTGTGACACATCTGGCAAGCTGCTTTGAGTGCTGGTGGGTAGAGATTGGGTATGTTCCTCACATTTCTCTACCAGGCAGAGTCCTAGAGCAAGTGAAGGGGGGCGTCTCAGCTTTCTGAGCTCTTTACTGAGCTCATGGTGGTACCTTTCTACTCTTCATTTCCTCACCAGAGGTGGGAATCATGGCACCCAAGTACCTTCTATGGAGCCGTCTCTGCAGGGGCCATTTCCTAGCTGACAGACAGACACATGGGGAGGGAGCGTGCCAAGTTCTTAAGACCTTTGCTCAAACCTAGGGAGAAATTCTTACACACTTTCACCTTTTTTGAAAGATTTTGCTTATAATGAAATCGTACTAATGAATACAGGCTATACAGATGATAGTGAATTAGCAAAAGGTCACTAACTCCTTGGAACTTACAGAGGCGTATATCAAACACATAACAGATTTTAGACAGTGCTTTAAAAATTTAGTATTAAACTACGGGGCGCCTGGGTGGCGCAGTCGGTTAAGCGTCAGACTTCAGCCAGGTCACGATCTCGCGGTCTGTGAGTTTGAGCCCCGCGTCGGGCTCTGGGCTGGTAGCTCAGAGCCTGGAGCCTGTTTCCGATTCTGTGTCTCCCTCTCTCTCTGCCCCTCCCCCGTTCATGCTCTGTCTCTCTCTGTCCCAAAAATAAATAAACGTTGAAAAAAAAAATTTTTTTTAATTAAAAAAAAAAATTTAGTATTAAACTAAAAAGTGGTACACTTTAGTGTTATGGTAACATTATAAAATATGAAAATGCTGCTATCCTGCATAGTAACGTCTCTGATTGCTTTTACTTTCATGGGAGTGACTTCCCAGTCCCATCTGGAATAAAGACATTTATTTGAGTCTTTATTAGGAAAGAAGGAAGAACTCAAAAGGTTGTTGTTTTGTTTAATTTTGAGTTCTGCTCTGCACCTCCTTTCTTCTCCTTCCTCCACAAACGAAAAGCAAACTGATTATTTTACTTTTGCATTATTAAAGCATTAGTAGGTATTATAAGATTCCTTTTTTTTAACAAGATTTCTTTGACTCCCCCAAGTAACATATTAAAAACTCCACAGTAGGAAACCTTTCATATAAAGCTGTCCACAGAAATCATTTTATCATTATACACTTACATATGATGGTCTTCTAATTTCTTAGGATAAAGTCATTTTGTAAGCCTATTGAATGTATATCCACTTATAAAAGAGTAAAAGACTAACACATGAGCGGATAAGATTCTTCCCGTTTCTAATTAAGCTTTCTGTAGTGCATTAACCCCTTGGATGCTAAATTAAAAGTTGAACATGCGAGGGATGTGGAAAGAGCCACGGCCTTGCCCGATGAAGCTCGAGAAGCGGGCTTAGAGCTTCACATGATGTTGAGGGAGTGTGCTCAGTGACACAGCAAATGCCGTTAGTTGGGGAGGACTTTGACCCTTCCTTTGGTTCTTAAGTTTTGCCTCCTTTAGTTGCCTCTGTTTCTTGTACCTTGAGGGAGAAATCAGTCTCTGCCCTGAAATGCACAACAAAACCAAAAAGTTACAACAGAAGGGCAGAGAACTGTAGATTTTTAGTATGTTAGAGGAAGAAATGACTTGAGGGTTATCTGGTTAGTCCCTAGCTTTCTTTTTTTTTTTTTTTT